ATTATATCATAATTATAAATTTATAATTATACATATTATTATAATTATAATATTATAATATTTTATATTTGCTAAATCATTTTATTTTTATCAAAAATAAAAAAATTTAATAATAATTTAATTAATTCAATGATAATTTTTTTAATAGATTCTAAATCTAATTTTGTGGCTTGATTAAAAAAAAAAAGAAGAAGAAATCTCGTTTCATTTTTTCCATTGGGTAGCGAAACACCATTTGATTGAATTGTCCGAAACGTTTCTGGGAAGTGAGAACAAATTCATTTCGCAAATCCTCGAAATGAAAAGTCTAAATGCCCAAAAAAGCCCAAACTAATTCCCAACATCCTTCACTCCCATGTGAAACCCAATCTCTAGCTAACTCTCCTAGGCACTTGATCCCAATTTCGCCAAATTCCCAATCCTAACGTTGGGATCTTCTATCAAGTATGCGGGTTCCTTTCTAAATCCATCTATTCAATGTTTGATTTCACGCTTTTTCGCCATTCAAATCGACCTAGTTTTGATGTCACTCAATGCGTGATCTTTGATTGTGTTGATAGCTCCTTTTTTTGAGTTTAGTTTGAGAGTTTCGTAATTTAATATAAGTTGGCTTAGATCTAACTTCTGCTACATGAAATTTGTTTTTTCTTGTTTACAATTTCATTGTTTGCCTATGTATTGTTTTAAGCATTATTGAGAATGATGGGATTATTCAATCACCAAATTTCGTAAAGTTTAAGCTGCAGGTAATGCCTATATGAGAAAGTCCCTTGTGATTATTGGTCTTGCAAGTCATTTAAATGGCAGTAATGGATGATTGGATTGTTATTTGGTAGTTGTTTTCAGAAATCTTCCATCCAGCAGATAAATTTATAGCAAAACTTGTGAAATTACCAATTGAATACTAACATGTTTTGGTTGCATTGTTGTTAACAGCTTTATAGAACTCGAGAGGAGGAGTACTTGCTAGATCTACAAAAGGTTCAAGGGCCAAATTTGTGTTTTTAGACCTTTGTGCCACATTTTTTACACAACTTTAGGTCTTTTGAAATGAGAGAGAGGTCATTATTCTTCCAAGGAGACCGTTTTCTACCTAAAATTTAAATTTCAATGGTGCATGTTCATTGAGATTCATTTATATATATAGTGTATCATATTGTATATATCTTATTTTTCAGTATGACTTAATTATAACTGCCTTCATGGTATCTCTTTGTTTTTAGATGGGTATTTGATTTTTTGAGTTTTTTTTTTTAATTTTTTATTAAAAAAAAGTGTAAAAAAAAGAGGGAAGTATAGGTTTAACGCCAAAGTTGGATTATTACCATCATTCAAATTGTTAAGACTAGTAATTTATCTATAATTTTATTTGTTTATAAATTTTTCTTAAATTATTAGTATGATATTTAGAAATATTTATTTATAAATTAATTTTAATTTATTAAATAATAAATATTAATTTATTTAATACATTTAAATATTAATTATTAATTATTTTTAATAATTAAATTATATTTAAATTTTAATAATAGTTGATGACAGTACCGAATTGAACGGTAGGTACAAGTGTACAACAATACTCCTAAATCTGACCATCAGTTCTATTTTTTCGGAGTACAAAAGGAAAATCAAGGTCTTTGGGCTTAAGGCTTTTATCCATCATGTCATTGAGGCCAGGCCCAGCACTAGTGGACCGCTGAAATTTAGTGGAGCCCAGAGTAAGTTTGGTTTAGGGAGCAGGGCCTGGGATGGGAGGCTCATTGCCGAGTAATCACTCAACCTAATAAAGTAGAACTAATAATAATGTTAGTGGCTGCTGGGCAGCCCTTTTCCCGACACAAAACCTTTACTAAAGATCCTCTCACACTCATCGATTACTTTCCTTTAAATTAACTTATATTATTTTTATTGGTTTTTTAACATGTATTTTAAAACACTTTTTGTTATTAATTGATATTGAAAAATAAAAATTAATTTTTATATATTAAATTAATTAATTAAAATAATTTATATGGTATTAATGATAAAATTAATATTAATTT